GATAGATAGATAGATAGATAGATAGATAGATAGATAGATAGATAGATATGACAGACAGACAGATGACAGACACACGGACAGACAGATAGATTAGATAGATGAATAGATAGGTAGATCGATAGATAGATAGATAGATTGGTATAGATGACAGACAGATAGATTTGGTAGATAGATGGATGAATAGATATAGATGACAGACAGACAGACAGACAGACACCTACTCATCCTAACACTATTTGTCAAGAAGACTCCTGGTATATTGTTTGGCACGTCTGTGGAAAAGAAACTGACATTGATATAAGGACACTGATGGGTGGTTCTGGTCTGTCTCTTTGCTACTGTTCCATAATCTCACTTTCTGTAGCTTGGTCGTGCAATGGAAGTCAAAGAGTGTGAGTTCTCTAACCCCACTCTTGCATGAATGAGTCATATATATATATATATATATATATACATATATATATATATATATGTTTTATTTTAACTCGTAGAGTTCTGTCTTCAGAATAAAAGGACACATTCCAGATAGAGAAGAGTGAAACTATAAATACTTAACTAAGTTTTTAAAATTACTTTTGTGTTTTGAAGATACAGAATATTTGTTCCTACTTCTGAGGTTCAATGTGGTTGTGATTCGTTACCACGTTGAATGATGGTCAGGTAACGTAATTAACAGTATTGACTTTGTTTCTTATTTTGAACCAGTAGCACATATTTTTGTGGAACACATGGTGCTTCATTTTATTAAAACATGGATTTGAGTTTTGGCAGTGCCATCAAGCTATTATAGATACATAAATCTGGTGAATGAAATGAATTATTCAGCTTAACAGTGATAACAGTGACATTTTACATAAAAATAATCACAAATATGCTTAAATTGCTTTTAAGACAATAAAATGTGTATAAATTTAGCAAAACTCATTATTAATGACACATTGGACCCATGGCACGTTGGTCAGTGCAAAGACTTAGCAGTAAATAATTATGTAAAATTAGGAGAACTGTGTTTTGCTCTTTTCTTTTAAGTGTTTGATTTATGTAGCTCATTGTTGTCTTGAAAATTACTGAATGCACATCATATGTTAGACTTCAATTGACTTACTTGGATTAGAGCAATAAATGAAACCAACTGAGTCCTTTTCTTCGCAGAGAACAGCATAGACATAGTCAACAGAACACAGCAAACACAAGGACTACAGAGATGATCAAACAGGATAGGGGAAGTAAGGTTTGGGGAGGACAATTTTTCATTTCAGGAGGTTTCTATAATGAGATGGCTTTTAAACACAGATCTGGAAAATGGTTCTATGCATGCATATTATAACATACATGCTGTGCGACCATGAAATAATTGCACTGATATTCTTAGGATAACAGACTCGGATTTGAAAGGACCTTTGAAATGCTTAACCCTCTGCCATTTCCATCTGTGTTGTATTTGAACATCATCGATAAAAATATTCCTTGACAAACGGCTTAGGTCTATAGAAAACTCCTGTTTATGTTGTACTGAAAATGCTTAGGAAAAAACCCTCCATATATTTTTGGTTTCCTCATTTTAATGATCCAAACTAAATATTGCCTTCCATGAGTGTCTTCTGTCAAGTCTTGAGCGCACCATAAATGACTCTGAAAGTGACTCCAAAGAGTCAACATTAAAATGTCTTACCATGTGGTGCCATCATTGAAAAAAAACCTTGTCTCTTAATAATATCTTCCTCTGAAGAACATCTTATTGTATTTACTGTCAGTCCATGTGATTCTAACGACATAACTCACAGTCCACCAGACTTCATAATATCTGCTTAGGAACATTTCTACAAACTTTAAATCCATTTGTTAAACTTCTTTTTTTAATATTTATTTATTTATTTATTTATTTATTATGTATACAATAGTCTGTCTGTGTGTCTGCTTGCAGGCCAGATCTTATTTCAGATGGTTGTGAGCCACCATGTGGTTGATGGAAATTGAACTCAGGACCTTTGGATGAGCAGGCAATGCTCTTAACTGCTGAGCCATCTCTCCAGCCCCCTTTGGTAAAATTCTACCATGTAACTAAATACTGCCACCTATTCCTGACTTTGACTAACATATGATCAATAATGTAAATTTTCTTGAAACTTTTTTTTTTTTACATCAAGAAAAAAATCCAGTTGTGCATGTGTTCTAAGAGTCAGTATTTTATATTTTGGAATTTTTACTTGGTAGTTTTGTTCATTGTATTTAGAAACAATGATAGTATAAGACCACAAAGCCTTTTCAAGATTAGTATGCTTTATTTTAAAAAGATCACTGCCTTGGTGAGAATTTTTTTTTGTGCTTGATTCTCTGATTCATTAAGATATATAATGTCTTGTGATAATGTCAATTACTCATTATGGAAAAACTGAGTTTTCTCTTTCAAGTCTACACACACACACACACACACACACACACACACACACTTCTAAATTCTTTCTGAAAATATCCCTGACTGCTTGTGTGCACAGTCACTCTACTTGCTGTGAGATACGGCCGTGCTGCAAGCTAGGATTGCGGACAGGAAAATAGAAACCGATTCAGTTTCTGCCCTCAAGGAGTTGAGACTTGAGGGAGAAGAGAGTAGACAGCTGGCAACAGCGGTGGGGAGCAGCCCAGCCAGGCGCCGGGGGAGGAGCCAGAGCCCTGCACAGAGCAAGATGTGGGCCAAGTCAGAAAGGCACTGGGGAGGGAAGATGAGAAAGAGAACAAGAGTGGACACTGTTTGACACGGAGGGAGTGGGGGCGGAGGTGCAGCCCAGCAGAAACTTCCCTGATGGCTTAGGAAGGGAGCACCCACCACATTCTCTGTTAGCTCTCGGCACTGTGCCCTACTCATGCTGAGGGCTCACAAATGTTGAACGTTTGACGTGAGTTCTGGACGTGAAACTAAAGAGATCTTTATTATCACCTAGCACTGTGTGTTTCTCTCCAACATTACCCTGTATATCTATC